ATGAAAAAAAAAAGAATTGAAGTTAGGTTAATTGGAAAACGAAATGAATATTAATAATTGACTGAAAATAAAAATGATCCATAATTGACTAAAATGGAAAAGGAAATGGTCAGATCATTGCATTTTAATTTTCACAATAATATTATACAGTATAATACATCAAATCACAATTATGTCATAAATCTTTCACAATTTTAAACAATGAAATGAAAATTAAAAATAGAACAAAAATATTTTAATAATAATATTCTACACATCAAGTAAAAGTAAATTAAAAATGAAAAGGAAATATTTAAATAATAATATTCTACATCATCAATAGTAAATGCATATTTTAAATAATAGTAAAGGTAAATTAAAAATGAAACCGGAATATTTCAATAATAATATTCTACATCATCAATTAAAAATAGAACGAAAATTAGGTAAAAATATCACTGTATCTGATATTCTAATTGACTAATTGAATGAAAATTAAAAAAAAAAAAGAATAATTGGCTGAAAATGAATATGACATTACAAATTGACTGAAAATATAAAAAGAAATGAATACTAATAGTTGACTGCAAATAAAAAATGATCCATAATTGATTAATATGAAAAAAATAAATGGTTTGATCATTGCATTTTAATTAAAAATGGAACGAAAACTAAAATTTGACGGAAATATTTCAATAATAATTCTACATCATGAATAGTAAATGCATATTTTAAAAAATATTAAAGATAAATTAAAAATGGAACGTAAATATTTCAATAATAATATTATACATCATCAATTAAAAATTGAACAAAAATTAGGTAAAAATATCACTGCATATGATATTCTAATTACTAATTGACTAAAAATATAAAAGAATAATTTGCTGAAAATGAATTTGATATTACTAATTGACTTAAAATATAAAAGGATCGCTAATTGACTAATACTCTACCATTATATATTTTCACCCGAGTCACCTATCCTGAAAGACTGAAGGTGTTAGCTCTATACGATGATGGACAGGATTGCGTTGCTACAACCGATGTCATCTACAAACAGGTTTCAATAATGTGTAAATACAATCGTTGATATTATGTTTTTTTTAAATGGCAAAATTGCTATATATCTAAACAAAAATATATATATATTCCATACAATTGAATTAAGATAGCAATTCATTCATATAACTGAGTTGCTAGAGAACGAACACATTTGCCTAATTTATATAAAAAAAAATACTAAACAATGATAAATAAAATCTCCAAAGTTACAGCATCGCATGCGTACATTTACACATAAGCTATTAATTTGAGCAATTATTTGCTAAAATTCAAACAATGATAACATCAAAACACATAAATAATTCAAAACATATACTGTATAATATTTAATGTTCTAATTTAAATAATTATATATCAATCCAAATATTTTTAATATATTATAACAAATCTATCCCGTGCATCGCACGGGCGAAAATACTAGTTTTCATAGAATTAAAATCTCATGTCCCGGGGGTTTTAATTTCTGGGATTTTAGAAAGAAAAAAAAGATAGTGATGAGTCAACATTACCCATCCCTTTTTTAACCTAAAATTAATGCCTGATAACAACAATGTACATTTTGGACTTTATACTACTTATTCTATTTTAATTTCCATGTATACCAAACATTGGAATTGAAATTCCCAGTAATTCATCTCCCATAGAATTGTAATTCCTTTCTCATATAACTGAAAGAGTCAACAAACATCTCTACTGAAACTCGATCTCATAACCTCCCACATGGGAAAAATCACACTACATAACATCTGAGCACAAGGTGCTTGACAGATTTTTGTAGTTATCTTTTTTTGTGTAGTTTCTAAATTTTAATACATAAACAAAATTTATTATGTAAACACTCTCAGTTAGTTGTCACAAGTTTCCCTCGCAATCTAAAAATTTAAAACATTTCCCATAAAATTATTTTTGATAAAATTAAATCCTTAAGAATATTTTTCTAAAATTTGAATAAAATTAAATATGTATGACAAGTTACCATCAAATATAATAATGTATGTATGCTCAATTATTGAAGGATTAGAATGAGCTGGTAATGCAAGTTTCTACCACAACCCTAACTTGACATGTACAGTACGTAATCTTCCCCAATCATACGTGCACTTGAGTATTACTTTTCAGTTTTAATTTCTTATATTATTATTATTATTTTAATGCTACTTACTCTATTACAATGTAATATATGTTTTTGAGAAACTATATTTATACCACCCGACTACAAGGCCTTTGACTATTTCTTATATTACCCTTAATTATATTGGTTAGCTCTTGTAAATATCATCTGAAATATACCATTTCTTAAATAAATAAAAAAAATCATACATATCAAAAATATATAGGGTGTGTTTGGTTCACACTAGAGAATGGGAATCAGAATAGAAATTAAATACTTGGAAATGGTAATAGGTTTTGGTGAAAGTATTTTGCATGTTTGGTAGTACGGTGGAATTATAATGATTATCAATATTGATGTTTAGTTATGTATGACCATATAATGGGAATAAAGTTTTTAAACATACAAAAATTAAAAATTAAGGCAATTGATTTTAATATAATGACATCCAATGCACCAAAATGAACAAAAAGAAAAAGTAAAATAAAAATCTAAAAGCACTAATCCAAAAGCACCAATAAGCGTACTTGACTTATAGCAGCCACATAAAATGAAAGAGCTCGAGGGTGCAAGGAATATTGTGTCAGGAAAATATATGAGGGAAGTAGACTAGAATCCGATGTGCGTCTGGACAGATCTAACAGGGTACGACCCCATAGTGCTCAAGAAAGGCGAGAACAGAAGGGAAATTGGGGCTTTCAGGGAGTCTAGGTGCAATCCAATCCAATCCCCTTGGTGACGATTAATGATTGAACCGAGACTACACCGAGCATAGTACGTAGCTCGGCCGTCGAAGAAATTTTCAAATCCGAGATATCGGATAGGGTCAAAAGGGGCTCGTAAGTCCCGACCTGTTTGTCGCTTAGAACTTTGTGCTGCCCACTAGTAAGAGTGGGGGATAGGATCTGAGGAGAAGGAATGGGAAAAGGTCGGGAGATGACAAGGGTAGAGTGAATGGAAGGATGGTTGGAAGTTACCCGGGTGGGAGGACCTGTAGTCCCGGGTTGAGAAGGTTCCGTCATGCTCGGCCTCTCGCGCGGCTGGTTAGTGGTTGTGCTCGGCGAGTCGCCCCAAACTTTTGAAAATTGCTCGACCTCCTCTATAATGGTGTCGTATGATGGCGTACAACTAGAATGAGTTAACCTTAACTATTGCGTCATAGTTCTTGACCGAGAGATTCTGACTATCTAGTTTGGACATAATACCCCTTCCTCTAGAAGGAAGACGGGCGGAGGGAGAGGGGGGGGGGGGGGGGGGAGAAGTTTAGTGAACGGGCGTTAACCGAGAGAGTCAGTAAAACCTAAGACATACTAGACTAGAGACTTATGAATGTAAATAAACTAAAATATTAAATAACGAGTTCGTACTGAGAAAGTTGGTCGGGAGCGCTCGACTTGATGGAGTTTGTTGAAATCCTTGTATTCAAGCTCGGGAAGCTCTCGAAATATCGCAAAGGAAAAGTGTGATTTTGGCTGGCCTACCTTGACACCGTATTTATAGATGAGGGAGGTTGGAAAATTTGAAACGAATCACAAGACATGTAACCCCAACATGACACGTGGCGGGTGAGTGTATATGGGTGGTGATTTGCATGGTCTGTCGTAGGCCGGCACTACACATAATCCCATCCCAACTAAGGGTCCTTAGACTTTGTTTTCCACTAGGATCCTGTAGTTCGAGCCCCGCAAGACGTTACCCTATCTCGGGACATGGACTAGGGGCTACTTGATGGGGAATATAATATACCTCAGGCTACTGACTTTTTTGAACTAGGAACGTGATCAGATACGACTCATTGCAAGGCAATGGTCTCTTCCCGATCTGATCTGACCTGACCTGAATAGAGTACCTGGCCGACCCGACCTATTAGTTAACCTTCTTATTGGCTTAATGAGCTTCTGCCCTTACCCTTTGGAGCTTGGCCCGATCTATATGCTCGGCTGATGGACCCGAGCTCACGTACTTAGCCCTTAAGGATGAACAATATCAACAAAGCCGGGACCGAGCCTGATAGTCATTGGCTAATCAAACTTTTCTCGACACGTGGACTATTTTCCCTAACCTCCAAAACCGTCCAGTGCATAAGGAACACGTGTCGCACATGCCAACCCTTCAACATGTGCCCCTTCAATCTCCTATAAATACCATGCTAGAGGTTAGAGGAAGGGACTTTTGCCCAATTCTCTCACTAGATTACTTACATGCTCGGAAACCTCTGACCTTTAATCCCATCATAGCTATTATATCCAAGTATATTACATAATAACATACGAATACTATTATTCAAAAAAAAAAACATACGAATACTATATCCGGTGGAATTCGACACATCACTTATAATTTACCTTTTATCTTCTCAATTTTCTGAACTTGGCCTTTGGAGCCAAGTCACATCATTTTTACCTTGGAAGAGATGGCTCTTCTGTGAACCGAGAGGGCTACTCCATTTTTGTTACCTATCTGACTTCTAAAGGATTTGGCGCAGAGAAATTTTTTTTATTGAATATCATATTTGAAAGTTAGCGTGGTTGGCCTGCAGAATGTCATCTTTTTACCTAACACACGTGAATCATAACTCAAAATCAGAGATTTATGTGGTGGCCTGGCAAACTTGATTTTGGTGAATTCTGCAAAACCGACCCGATCCAAGGCTGAAGCTACATATATAGTTCACATGCAAGTAAGTATGCAACAAATCCAAGCACACATCATCCATTATAATGGCTGCAGATGCAGACAAACCGCGCTAGACGACATTCACGTACACGTAAGCGTTTCTCTCTAGATAAATCCTTTGAATTGGCCTTCCTCCTCTCAGATACCGCTATATAAACCCCCCAGCATTTAACGCTTCCAACTCACTACAGTACTCGGAGCTAAGAAACCGTTCGTCTCTAATGAAGTTTGCATTACCTTCTGGAATGCGCTTCTGCTGAGTAGTCATATTATTGTGTCTGCGTTTATCTCCTTTCTCTCTCCCTGTACACGCGCGAGGCGTATAAACGGAATTCCTTCTCGATTAAGGTGAGTTTCTGAAGGACTTCTTTCGGAGCCTTCTGCTTCTTCTTCTTCTTCTTCTTCTTCTTGGTTTCCGTTGTGGTGGAGCTGTGAATCTGTGATACCGTGGAGTTGGTGCTTGAGGAGTAGCCGGTTCGGTTTTTCCAACCGCCGGTGAATAACTTTAGAAACTGATTTAGGTATTTCACTCTGGAAATTTTTGGATTTAGTACCATACCATACCATACCTTCATTGGCTCCTGTTCTGTTTCCTCCTCCAATGCCGACGCTAAAACCTCCGTCAACTGGCGGTGGCGGGAGTACTGTTGCCTCCGGACCTAGGCGGTGATTACAGTTTAAAGTTGTAAAATTATACGAATGAGAATCCGAGATGCAATAAATTGACAACTAATAGCATTTGATTTCATCAAATTTGTTCCCTCATCCCTGCGAATAAGACAGACTGAAATGAGATTTTGGCTGTAAGCTTCGCTGCCAAAATTCACAAACTATGACCTCCCTCCCATATCATTCAAACTTACTTCTCTCAACCCTGTAATAAACTACTCACCATAAAACTTGGCTTTATTCTCTAATTTTTCACTTTTTCATTCTCCACAGTCAATTTTTAATGAAATTTTTTTTCCATATAGTAAAGACACCCTTAAAGTGCTTCTCATCAGATTCTTAAAAAGATACAATTGATCAGTAGGGATTTATTATCACCTTTCCCAGACTATTGATCCTGTTTCTCATTTTTCATGCCAAAATTTCCCTGATCTGACCATTGTTGAACACTTGGAACTTTCTCCAATCCCTTGTCTCAACTTCTAAGACCTCCAACATCAACCACTTTGATTCTTTTTCGCCCTTTTCACTTTTCTGTCCTTGTAAGATGCTCTCTGTTTCTTCTATATTTTTATTCTTCATTTTGGGTACCAAAGAAAAAGGGCTCTTTTGAAGTCCCTATAGTGCAACAGTAGAAAGTAGGTATAGATGGTCCACAAGTTTCTGGTGAACACTAGAAATGGTTTTATGCTTAACATAGCCATATAGCAGATTAATTAGTACCAGTAATATTTTTTAGATCAAGAATCCTATCACAGAGGTTGGTAATTTTGAGTAATTGCAGATAGAGGTTGAAATTGTCAAACAGTTATTTTGTTGTCAATCCATTTATGAAGTATAAAGTAGGTATAGTGTTGCGAGTAAAGCATAAGCTTTAAGAATTGCAAATTTTATTTGTCGAATTGTCTCAGTAATTATTGTTGATGAATTTTACAATCCTGATGTGCCACTGCGACTGACTTTGTTCATGAAACTATGCTTTCATTTCCCATAACTGTGAAAATTTATACTTGACAAAATTGGCAATACAGTGCTGTTTTGTAGTTTGGATCTTTTGTTTTTATTGCAATTTATTTATTATATTTTCAGATGTTCAGCTACAATCCCTGTCTCTAACTTTGGTGTGCCTCGTGCAGTTTATTGTAGAAGAGCAGTGAGTTGCACGAAGATGACGATCACACCCAATATCTCTATCACTGATGGGAACCTTGTGGTCCATGGCAAGACCTTGCTTAAAGGTGTGCCAGACAACATTGTGCTGACACCAGGATCCGGTGTGGGACTTGTTGCCGGTGCATTCATTGGAGCCACAGCTTCACATAGCAAAAGCTTACATGTTTCCCCCATTGGTGTCTTAGAGTGAGTCTATACTATGCCCAGACTTGTTGATTTGCCAACAAGAAATGTTGATTTGCCGACAAGAAATGTTGATTTGCCAATTGTAATAATTTTTTGTCTCACATAATAGGGGTCTCCGGTTTATGTGTTTATTCCGTTTCAAGCTATGGTGGATGACACAGAGGATGGGAACATGTGGAAACGATATTCCTCTGGAGACCCAATTCATGCTTGTGGAGAGCAAAGACACCGGTGAAGGTGAACCTGAAGATGCCCCAACTATCTATACTGTTTTTCTCCCGCTCCTTGAAGGACCATTTCGTGCAGTTCTTCAAGGCAATGAGAAGAATGAAATGGAGATCTGCTTTGAGAGTGGTACGTTTCGTATGGCCCAGTCATTGGTTATTACTACACACTGTAACTTGTGTAAACCATATCTGTTCTGCTCTGTAAATACACTATATCATAAGGTTTTGCACTGTGTTAATTTTATCATAACTGAGCTGTTTACAAATGAAAACAATCATCATTGTAACACGAAACAATTTACTGGAGTTCACAAACCATGGAAGAACAATTAGAAGCAAATGAGCTTGAAAGGACTAAAGTGGCCTTGGCTTTTTTTGGTATATTTTGATTTTGCAGGAGATAGTTCTGTAGAAACCAACCAAGGGCTTTATCTTGTCTACATGCATGCTGGACCTAATCCCTTTGAAGTCATAAATCAAGCTGTTAAGTAAGTCCTTAATGTTTCATGAGTTGCCGTTTTCACCTGAAGGATTTATTTCCTTAATGCAACTACTTTCCCATTCAACAGAGCTGTTGAGAAACACTTGCAGACTTTCCATCACCGAGAGAGGAAAAAGGTAAAGGGAGTGTGTATTCTCCTGTCTATTCTAACTGGTGCTTGATTATGTGATATGAAGAGCATCTGAAAAACATATATCTTGGTTGCTTGTAGTTGCCATCAATTCTTGACTGGTTTGGCTGGTGCACATGGGATGCCTTTTACACTGATGTCACAGCGGAGGGTGTCGAACAAGGCCTTAAAAGGTAAATTCTTAATCTGTACTTATATTTCTGGAAATTTTGTTCTCTTACTGCAAAACTGATACCCATGGTCTGTGTCTTTTTGACTAATTTGTTTAATATGAATACCACAGCTTGTCCGAGGGAGGTGTCACTCCACGCTTCCTGATCATAGATGATGGTTGGCAACAAATTGGTAGCGAACCCAAGGACCCTGAATGTATTGTTCAAGAAGGCGCACAGTGAGTCCTTATCTTTTTCTTCCTGGAGAGTTGTTTCTCATGCAATTTGACCTTTGTCTGTTTAACATATACATCAATTCATGTGACATTATTTATCTTGCAGGTTTGCAAACAGACTAATAGGGATAAAAGAAAACTCAAAGTTCCAAAAAAATGAAACAAAAGGTGAACAAGAATCAGGATTGAAGCAAGTTGTGGAGAAAGCAAAGCAACAGTTCAAAGTGAAGTAAGTCGTCTAACTCCATAGTTGATTAGTTTATATGGTGAAGATGGATTAATCATCTAGTAGATTTTTCCTAAAAATCATTACTCATCTAGTACTTGTTCGCTTTTTTCTCTGTAAAGGAGCTGTTTCTTCCCCTTTCCTCCATTTTTCTATATTGCTCAATAATCTCTCAAATTCTGTCAGTATTCCATGTAGTGAAACGAGTTTGATTAGAGTAAATCATGCATTATTTATGATCTTCCTTTGTTCCAGATATGTCTATGTATGGCATGCTATGGCGGGTTACTGGGGTGGAGTACAACCATCCGGTCCTGGAATGGAGCACTACGAGACTGCATTAGCATACCCTGTCCAGTCCCCCGGTGTACTTGGAAACCAACCTGACATTGTGATGGACAGTCTTGCAGTTCATGGCTTGGGTCTGGTACACCCCAAAAAGGTCCTCAACTTCTACAATGAACTTCATGCTTATCTGGCCTCGTGTGGTGTCGATGGAGTCAAAGTCGACGTGCAAAATATTATAGAGACTCTTGGAGCTGGACATGGTGGTAGAGTTACTCTCACACGAAGTTATCTCCAGGCCCTTGAAGCATCCATTGCACGCAACTTCCCTGATAATGGCTGTATTGCCAGCATGTCTCATAATACTGATTCCCTCTACAGTGCCAAGCAGACTGCCATAGTTAGAGCTTCTGATGATTACTATCCTCATGATCCTGCTTCTCATACAATCCATATTGCGGCTGTGGCCTATAACACGCTGTTCTTGGGAGAATTCGTGCAACCTGATTGGGATATGTTCCATGTTAGTACATCTGCGTCGTTTCCTTTTGGCTTGCTTAGATTTCTTTTCCACTTCAGGTTTTCCTAAACAACTAACTTGTCTTGCAGAGCCTACATCCAACTGCTGAGTATCATGCTGCAGCTCGATCTATTGGAGGATCTGCTATTTATGTCAGGTGTGAATTATGCTCTATGTTAAATTGATAAATTCTCCGTGATGGTTTCACTCTATACATGGGTTGTCCTCTAATATGGTTGTCTTCTGATATTAGTGACAAGCCTGGAAACCACAACTTTGAGCTTTTGAAGAAGCTAGTCCTTCCTGATGGATCAGTGCTTCGTGCCCAATTGCCTGGCCGACCAACCATTGACTGCCTTTTCACTGATCCAGCTAGAGATGGAACCAGGTCTTCAATTTACTTTCCTGCCTGTGACTTGTTAGTTTGAGACTTGAGAGAGAGATCAAGAAAACTCAAATGCATATTTATATTGAACAGCTTGCTTAAGATTTGGAATGTGAACAAATGCACGGGTGTGGTTGGTGTGTTCAACTGCCAAGGTGCTGGCTGGTGCCGAGTTGCAAAGAAGACGCGTATTCATGACACATCACCTGGCACCCTCACTGGTTCTGTTCAGGCTACCGACGTTGATTCCATAGCTCAAATCGCTAGTCCAGATTGGAGTGGAGACACGGTTATATACACCTACAGATCAGGTATGTGTCTAGTTGTCCATATGTTGAGCATATATATAATATATAAACATAAATGCGCAATCCAACTAACAGCTTAGACTTTTAGTTGAGATGGAGCACATGCTTCAATTATAAACAAGATATCAGATTTCTACAAATTGATGCTTATTACCATTTTATAAAAATTACTCTTTGCTTTGCAGGGGAGATAGTTCGCTTACCAAAAGGTGCTTCACTGCCTGTGACTCTTGGGGTTCTAGAGTATGAACTCTTCCATATCTCTCCTCTCAAGGTCTGCCACTCTTTCTAACATTCTCCCCTCTGTTCTCTGCTATTAGCCGATATATATACATAAGATCAATTGATTGTGTTGTTGCAGGACATTGCCCCAAACATCTCATTTGCACCAATTGGCTTACTAGACATGTTCAACAGTGGCGGTGCTGTGGAGAAGTACGAAGTCCATCTGGTTTCTGACAAGCCAGAACACGTTGATGGTGAAGTAGTCTCTTCTGAGGTGCCAACTTGTCTAAGCGAAAACCGGCCACCAACTGCAACGATCTCTCTCACCGTTAGGGGGTGTGGCCGATTCGGAATTTACACCTCCCAGCGCCCTCTGAAATGCTCATTGGATGGTGCCATTACTGACTTCAACTATAACACTGACAATGGATTGGTGATCATAAGCATCCCAGTTCCAGCACAAGAAATGTACAGATGGAATGTTGAAGTCCTAGTCTAAGTCTAAGTAGTTATTTACTAGGAAGTGGTTGTTGCAGAATCCAAGAAAGACAAAGATGAAGGCAAGTGAGGCTTCTCTCATCTTTGGGGATAACTGAATAAGATTGTCAGAACGTTAGTTAGATACTTATGTCTGTAATAAAAACTATATATATATATATATATATATATATATATGAATGATGATCCATATCTGTGATGCTGCAGTTTCTACTCTCTTTGTATCATATCACTTCACATCTGTTTTATTTCTATGCATTGCACTGGCGGGTTCTGACGGGCAATTTATATTGTGCACCAGGGCACACAATGGGCAAAATGACGTCGTTTTGTGTTTTTTTTTTTTTTTTTGAAAATTTCGCTTTTCCGTGTTTGCTGCTAATTTTGTTAAAAAAAAAAAAATTCATGTTTCGAAAATGTACATAATTGTATATCAAAATATACATAATTGTATAACATAATGTACATAATTATATATCATAATACACATACACTCTGTTGCGTCTACTCCCCACACAACTTAACAAAACAACGTTATTTTAGGAGATGCGGGGCGTACAGTGCTGGACCGTTTTAATTGTTCCTAACTCCAAATGAAGTTCCATTGTTTCAACGACAACTTAATATTAAAAATATAATTTATTAGTATCAATAAACTAAACTAAAAATATGTTTACAAAACACTCATATTAGTTGTTTAACCTATCAAACAAGTTAAAGTTGATCAAACAAGCTAGACTTTGGGGGGAGGGGGGGGGGGGGTGGATTTGGTTCGGGTTATCTAAGATAACTAAGATTATCTTTAGCTAGTTATATAATATTCATGTGTTTGGTTGAAGTTTTCTAACATTCCATCGGAATCTTATTTAGCGTCCACATCAGCATTTTCCTTATTTTGAAGGGAATGTGATTCCCTTGGTTTCGTTATGTTATGTAACATTCCCTTGCTTTTTTACATACTCTACCCTCCACTCTTTTACGAACTATGTGTTTGATATTTCATGGTTTCTCTCTCGCATCGCTGAATGCAATTATTTGTGCACGGTTTACTGATTCTATAATTCTTGTTAATGTTAACTTTCCCCTTAATGAGCAATTATTTTTGCAATCTTATCGATTCTCATTATGCCTAGTATAAGAATTTGTTCTTTTGCAGTGAAAGTTAATAAAAATTAAAATTGAAGTGCATCACACATACTCAGTGAAAGTTAATACTGTTAAGGATATGTGTGGTTGATATTGTTTATCAATATGTTGTTCTCCTTTAGAATATCTATGTTAGATTAACTATTGTAACTTCCTAGTTATTAGCTCTCTCTTGTATACTATTTATACCTAGTAGCTTCACATCAATAATATTGAAGTTCATTCCTTTTACATGGTATCAAGAGCCTTATTCTCCTATAGAGCCGTCTACCGTCGCCCAGGCCCTCAAGGATGCTAGGTGGAAGAAAGCTATGGACGAAGAATTCGAAGCTTTGCACCGTAACAACACGTGGAAATTGGTACCACGTGGAGCAGGGGTTCCGATTGGTTGCAAATGGGTCTACCGTGTCAAGCGCAAATCGGATGGCTCCGTTGATCGGTACAAGGCACGTCTTGTGGCCAAAGGGTTTCTGCAGACAGCGGGTCGGGACTATTTCGAAACTTACAGTCCGGTTATGAAACCAGTCACTATCCGATTGGTCCTGACTATTGCATTAAGTCACCGCTGGTGTGTGCGCTAGTTGGACATTAATAACGCCTTTCTGCATGGCACGCTTCATGAGGAAGTTTACATGGAACAGCCACCGGGATATGTTGATCCGCTTTACCCTTCTCATGTTTGCAGGTTAACCAAGGCTTTGTATGGCCTCAAACAAGCCCCGCGGGCTTGGTACCAGGAGCTCTCACTATTTTTGCAGCGCTGTGGGTTCACCAAGTCTCGAGCTGATGCTTCATTGTTCATTTATTCGTCTCATGATGTAACTGTTTATTTCTTAGTCTATGTAGATGACATTTTGCTGACAGGCAATAATGTTCCATGGCTAGATCGGTTTGTGAAGACTCTGTCAGCCCGGTTTGCTCTAAAGGATCTCGGTACACTTCATCATTTCTTAGGTGTCGAGGTCATCTCTACGGCTGATGGTATGTTCCTTTCACAAAGCCAGTACATAACTGATATACTCACACAGTTCAAATGGATGGTGCAAAGGATGTTTCAACACCACTTGCTGTTTCGGACAAACTCGTGCCACTTCAGTCACCTGGTTCTGCGACGGATGCTACTCAGTTTCGTCGTTTGCTAGGCCTTATGCAGTACTTGGTGATCACCCGCCAGGATGTGGCCTTTGCGGTCAATCGACTCTCGCAGTTCATGCATGCGCCTTCGGAGTTACACTGGCAAGCTGCGAAACGCCTGCTTCGGTATCTTAAAGGGACTGTTTGCCTTGGCTTGTTTCTTCGTGTTGGTCAGCCATTATCGCTACGTGTCTATACCGACTCTGACTGGGGTGGGAGCAGCACTGCTGGGCACTCTACTACGGCCTACCTAGTGTATCTGGGCACCAACCTTATCTCTTGGAAGTCCACGCGGCATAAGTCTGCTTCGCGGTCCTCGACAGAGGCTGAGTACCGAGCCTTGGCCAATGCAGCAGCAGAGGTTCTCTGGATTAAGAATTTGCTTCAGGAGCTACACTTAACTCTAGCACAACCGCCCGTTCTTTTCTGTGATAATCTCAGCGCCACTTACGTCTGCAAAAACCCAGTTTTTCACTCACGCGTGAAACACTTGGCGTTGGACTACTTTTTTGTACGAGAATTGGTTACAAGTGGTGCGTTGGTTGTTCGCCACATTCCTACCTCGGCTCAGCTAGCGGATCTTCTCACTAAGCCGTTGGGCCGTCACCTGTTTCTTCATTTTCGCTCCAAGATTGGAGTATCTGACGGATCCTCAATCTTGCGGGGGCGTGTTAAGGATATGTGTGGTTGATATTGTTTATCAATATGTTGTTCTCCTTTAGAATAGCTATGTTAGATTAACTATTGTAACTTCCTAGCTATTAGCTCTCTCTTGTATACTATTTATACCTAGTAGCTTCACATCAATAATATTGAAGTTCATTCCTTTTACAAATACAAAATTTTTGAACTTCATATATTGAAATGCATAAAAATGTTGAGGGTATTAAAATAAAATAGCCATTATAACATAAAGAACAACCCTTCAACCAAACAACTTTATATTACATATCTCAGTTTTAACCAAACACAAGATTCTATCATTCCCAAGAATCTAAGGTAATCTGACATTCCGTGAACCAAGTCAACCAAACGGCCCCTGGATGATAAGACATTTTCCAAACTCCTCTTATGAATTTAGTTAGAGCAATTGTTAGAAATAAATTTGTTTTAATAATTTATTTAAAATTATTTATTATGACATGTTAGAGATTACAATTATCACTTCTTATTAGTCATTTATGACGGGTCATTTTTTTTATTAGATATGTAAATTCCTTATAAACACACAATGAGATCAGCAAATTCACCAATAATCTATTAAAAAATAATTTGTTATATAATACAATAAACAAATTCAATTACAGGAGTTATAGCCATTTCTACTATTCCATCTCTATTTTTCGATATCTTTTACACATCTCCATGTATCATTGTAGCATATAGTTTAAATATTAAAAAAATATCTCACTTATATATTTTTGTCTTTCCATTACTGTCTTTCTTGTTTTACTCTATAATATTTACATATATTGGTTACATTTTGAATTAAGAACAATACAACAATTCATCATGCGATGAAATGTCTCAATTCAAAACACGTTATCAGCACGAATGCGCTACATCCTTGGTGAATGATATTATTTCTTATACCCATATATACTATGGTATAATATTATCACTATTTGAGAATACAACTTGAAAGAAAGATCAGTTTTCACAATGTAAAAAAAAAAAAAGCACCCATTCACTATTTGTGTTTTTTTTTTTTTTTTTGGAATCCATATATTATTATTATTGGTGTTGTTGTTATTGTTGTTGTTGTTGTTGTTGTTGTTGTTGTTGTTGTTGTTGTTAGGGTTGTTAGGGTTTATTTTATAAACCCATTTTGTAATTGGCAAATAGAATAGGTTAGGACTTAGTGCGGTTGATTCGGAGTGAGTGATGATATAGTGGAACAGAACTTGCAACAGATATGTCCTGAGGCTATTCCAGATAGGTATTTTACGAGATTATCCCTATTTAATTGAGAAGTTAGATTATTCTCCCAATTAAAACCTCAAGGATGAAAAAGTAATTGGACTACATGAAAATATTTTGGTACGTAGTTACATACCCTCACCAAGTTAGTATAATTTTTGTTTAGAGAGAATGTAGTTATAAGAGAGATGATAAGAATTGATTTAAAAAGAAATCTCGCTCTCTCTAACCGCTTTACAAGAAATACTCTAAAAGTTATTTTTCAAGACGATCAATCTGGATTTCATTGATCTTGAATAGAAGAAGCTCAAGTAATTTTATCATTTATTGAAATGTATTCCGATCCATATTAATCCAGCTATGATGACTTCTATTACCATCTCTTTGATCACATATTGAATTTCTTGTTGGTGGTGCCCTAGGCATAGATGTGGTTTGCATCGAACTGGATAAACAAATCCTTGTGTTCTTCTTCATTTACTTACTGTTTCATTCGATTTCATTACGTAATTAATAATAATATGAATTGTTAATTGATTAACCAGTAGATGAACCAGTAACGTAATATCTACACACAATAATAATAATAATAAAAATAATAATAATAATAATAATAATAATATTATTATTATTATTATTATTATTATTATTATTATTATTATTATTATTATTATTATTATTATTATTATATTTGTGCATTAATAACCATATTATATCATTAAGACCTTAAACTGTCATTAGACTCACTTCCCAACCTATCGCCCAAACGACACCGCCCATGGGCCAACCAATGGGCAGACAACCAAACTGCTCATGGACCAACCAATCGACCAAAAGTCTCCCTCCCACTGGCCGACCTACTAATCTCGACCATGGTTCTATCAGGACCACAGTGACCCGTTGACCAAGCTAGGCAAATGATATGCTGGCCTAGTTGGCTGGTTAGTCAGTGGGTGAGAACCAAATTGCTGCCTCAGCCAAGAGTTGGCGAATTTCCAACCTTCGCCACCCCAGTCGCTCCATCGAGATGGGCAGGGTTGGGGCCGCCACCTAG